GCGCCGGCCCGGCCCCCCGGGGCCCTGCGCCCTCCATGCGGCGCGGGGCAGGCGCGGGGCGGGCGCGGGCGCGGGTGCGGCCGCAGCGAGAGCGGCCGGAAGCGGAGTGCGCGGCCGGGCGGGGGGCGGCAGGAGGGGCGCCGGGCCGGGCAGGAAATTCCACATCGGCTCCCTGATCCAGGGCCAGCCGCGGCCGGCCAGGCGGCAGCGCCCGCCCCGCGCGCCAGACCCCACCCTCCGGCCGCGCCACCGCCCCTCCGCGCGGCCCCCGCCCCCACGCGGCCGCGCGCAAACTTGGGGGCGAACTTGGAAGGGGCCCTCCCGAGGAATCACCGGTCGCCTTGCCTTTCCCTCCCTTCCCCAGACACCCACCAGAGAAGCGGCCCCTGCGCGCTCCCGGCGAGGCCAGGCCCGGGGCGGGAAGCGGGTGGGGACCAGGCGCGACGCACGAAAGCCCCCTGGCCAGCGGCGCCTCGGAACTTCCAGGTCAAGACTGCAAGCCGGCCTCTGCTCCCCTCGTGAGGCCCTTCTACGTCCGGCTGTGCGGTCAGCGCCTCCCGAGCGCCGGGCGCAATCAAAGCCTGCAGCGACGGCGGAGCCGGATGCTTGAGGCCTGTGAGTAGACTCGGTCTGGACCAGAGAGGCCTGGGTGAAGGGGCCCCCGTAGAAACAGACTGGAGAGATGCCGGGAGCAGAATGGCTCCGCGCGGGCTCTGAGAGAATATGGAGGTAAAGGCAGGTGTCGGAGGCTGAGGGAGGCGGTATGGTGGTGGTGGGGGGACAGCTCCAGGACTGAGACCCTGCCTGCCGCCCCTGTCAAGGTGTGACGATGGGCTGGAGGCCGCTAGTCACCAAGGAGAAAGTCCAGAAGGTGGAGTCAGGGCTGGAGTCGTGGGAGCTCCTGCCTCGGGAGGGGTGGGGTGACAGCACAGAGCAGAGCAGGGGCAGCAGAGAAATGGGGTGAGGAGGGCCTAGGGGGACCAGGAGGAAGAGGAACCCTGGGCCCAGGAAACAGAGGGGTCAGACCCAACCCCAGGCCCATGGGGTGGGCAGGACGGGCAGGACTGGGGATGGAACAAAAAGGGGGGCAGACCGGTCCCCGAAAAGATGAGCTGGGCTTTTGAGGACCTGAGAGTTGGTGGAAGGGCCTGGGCAGGGAGAGGGCAGCTGCTGAGGAGGGGAGGTGGTGTCCTGCCTCAGTTATGCGGGGGCCCCATCTGGAAGGGTGGGGCTGGCAGAGGGGGCCTGGAATAAGGGCCACTGAAAGGCCCAAGGCTGTGGGCATCACCAGGCTGGCAGAAGTTGGGATGGGAGGGAGCTTCGGAGGTTAGGGCTCTTCCCTGAGCCATGCTGGTGCAGGATGGAGGCACAGTTGGGGAGGGTGGCAGGGAAGTTGCACCCATGTGGTCATGAATGCAAACACTTCTCTGGGACAAGTAAAAAGGCCAACCACTTCTGGGCAGCTCTGCCTGGCCATGGCCCTGAATTCAGCAGTGCCCGGGCCCCTCCCATGGAACCCCCATTGGCTGCCAGCAATGGAGGCCAGCAGAGGTCTGTGTGGCTGCACTCCTGACTTTAGAGGCATCGCCCTAGCTAGACTGGGTTCATGGACAGGCATCTCAAACTCCCTCATCTCTCCCCAGGGCTGCTTCCCGCCCCACAACCCCACCTCTGTGGGGGCAACACCTGAATGCCTGAATGTCACAAATCTCTACCCACCCCATCCGTGTACCACCTGTGTCTGGTGCCCGCAGGACAGGACCATCACCAGCCTCGTCTCAGACCCACAGCCCCCCACCTGTGTCCTGTCGCAGCCACCTTGCACTTGATGGTGAGTTCAGGTGTTGAGGGCAGGGCCCACGTCTGTACCAACCACCACATCTCCATCAGGAAGCTGAGTGCGGGTGGAGTGGACGATCGTCTGTCTGCCCAGCCTGTGCCAGGTGAATACCAGACTGAGGAAGCTGGGGGTTCATAGGCACCCATATGACTGACCAGCATGCAGACCGTGGGAGCCAGGAGCCTGGGCCGACCGGTTCTGACCGGGATGACTTCCTGGGGGAGGCCAACTTTGAAGGGTGAGGATTTTGCAGACAGAAAGGGATGAGCCACGAGTGAAGCAAAGGCTTGAATGCAGGGCCTGAAAGCCTGCCAAGCTGGCAAGCTGGCTGCCTGGGCCCAGGGGCAGGACCTGGTGGGCTGCTGGCGGTGGGTGAATGCTAGACCGGACAGTGGCAGGGCTAGGCTGCTGCCCAGCTCTCAGGATCCCTTCCAGGGCTCATGTCTACCCCACCCCATGCCCTGTGGGGCCTCACAGACCTTTCCCCGCCTCCACTGCAGACCAGAGGTCTCTTGCAAAAGCTGTGCTTTGGTGTCTGGGTGGGGAGATAGCACTGGCAACCTTGGAAACATTTTGGGGGCGGAGGCGGACATTTTTGGCTCTCCTTCCCAGGAACCTCTGGGGTCTGCAGGGACTGCAGCCCTGGCCTGCAAGGTGCTGGCAGAGACAGGAAGTGCTGGGTTCCTACTCCAAACTCACATTCCCACACCTCACCCTTGGGAGCAGGAGGATGACACTGGAGAAGTGGCCATCCTGTCCCACTGGAAGCGACCATCAGGGTCAACCCTGGGCTTGCCACCTGAAGTGTAAGTGCATGGTGTCACGTGGGCTTAGGGAGTAGGGCACGTTTCCTCAGGGGTACCTGGGCCCCAAGACAGCAGTCACACACACAGTGACTGCCTCGCCCCCACACCCATCTTTAGGGTACCCCCAAAGGAGTCCAGAGCAGCTGGCTGCCTGCACCCCCCATGCCCTTCCTCCCACCAAGGAGCACACACCGTCCCTCTGCCCCCCTCTTCCATGGCAGGACACCAGGGCAGCAGGCTCTAGGCAAGGCACGGGGACAAAGACCCAGCTGTCCCAGGTGGCCGGGAAAGAACAGAGAACAGAGCACTGGGGGTTCATCCAGATCCATCCCCGGGCCTAGGGGTCTGCAGGGGGTGTGGTATGAGGACCCCAAAGGAGGGGTGTGTTCAGATGGAGGCTGGGCTGTGCAGAAGTGAGGTTGGTGCTGGAAGCCCTGCCTGCCCACAGGTCCCACCTGCTGGAGCACAGCCCTGGAGACTCACCTGGAGGAAATGCAGCGCCCCCTCCCCGCTACATGCTCAGATGCAGGAGGTGGGCAGGCCCAGGCATCTCTCTCTCCCTCCCCAGGTGCTAGGCTTTACTTGGGGCTGAGATGGCCACCTGGGACTGGACTAAAGTTCAGAGAAGAGGTCCTCACCAGGGAAAATGCTCAAGTGGGCGGGCAACCAGCTGTCACCAGACTGTGGCGGGCGTCCTGGTGACACCCTTCTAGCCTGGGGGTGGGCTCTCGGCCTCCCATCGCCCCCAATAGCTCTGCCCCCCAGAAATCAAGCTTCCAGGGCTGCAGCCTTGGACAGGCTGTGAAAGGAAGTGAGGCCATGGCCAAAGGAAAGCAATGCACACCTCGTGTAAGATGATTTATTTCATTTATCAACAACATGGGGGCCGAAAAGCCCAGCTACAGGGCATCATTTTATCAAAGAATCAGCCTCAGGCAACCTGATGGATCTCTCTCCCCTTCCGGCCCTGGGAGCTGCTAGGCAGGCGATGGGCTCACCACGCCCCCTCCCTGCCGACGAGAGGGACAAGATGTGCTCTGGCCCCCTCACTAGGGGCCAGTCCCCAGGTCCCTTGGGAGAAGGGTGCCCTCTCGGCCCAGTAGGAACCAGAACCAGGGAGCAGGGAGGCCAGGACAGCTGGTGGTGGCACAGCCCGTCCCTGCTGAGGAGGAGAAAGCCTGGTGAACTTCAGGGGACCGAGCCCTTCCCAAAGGTTTCCCACTATGGGGTGATCCACAGCCACAGGTCTGCAGGGCCCCAAAAATACCTGCCGATGGGAGGTGGTGGGAGGGAAGGCCGCTGCTAGCCTGGGGTCAAGTGCTCCAGGGCAAAGTGCTGTGGGGGAAGCTGGGAGCTACCACCCCCCGCACCCCCCACCTGGCCTGGGACCCTAGTCCTCACTGGAGTTGTCAAACTCCTCCCAGTCAGACACACTCATCACCTCAGAGGCGAAGTCCGGGTCGGCCTGGCTGCGGTCAGGCGTCCCGCGTGGTGGCTCAAGGAGCAGGGACCGCGGCAGGGTGAGCACGCAGGCCGCCAGGCCCGAGATGGAGTTGTCCAGCTGCGGGCCCTCCTCCCAGCAGTCCTTCTCCACGTCATAGATGTGCACATAGCCAGTGCGGCTGCCCCGGTTGTGCGAGCGGCCACCCAGCACGTAGATCCTGTTGTCTAGCACGGCGATTCCGGGCTCACCGTGCCCTGCTGGGAGCGGGCAGACGGATGACCACTGCCCGGACTTGCAGCTGTAGCAGGCCACCTGCAAGGCAAGGCCCCAGGTTCACATATGAGGCTGAGGGACGCAGTGGGGCTGTGGGCAAACGCACCCCCCCGGAGGAAGGGCTCGGGCCAGACTGACGCTCTGGCCCCTCAGCCAGCCTGTGGCCCCAGAAGTGTGGGTGTCTCCCAGTTGGTCTGGGGGTGCCAGCTCACTCCCCTCCGCCACTGAAGCTGAAGACTCAGACCCCATGCACACCCAGCAATGGGGGAGGTGCAGATAAAATAAGGAAACAGGTGCTTGCTAACTCATGATGACCATCAACATTCTCTTGGGGGATCCCTGTCGGTCCAGTGGTTAGGACTCAGTGCTCTCACTGCTGGGGCCTGGGTTTGATCCCTGGTCAGGGAACTAAGATCCCACAAGCCATGCAGTGCAGCCAAAAAAAAAAAAAAAAAAAAATCTGTTCTCTTCAAAATTACTCCAAACAGTAAACAAATACATGCGAAAATGTTCAGCCTACCAGTAATCCAAGAAATGCAAAACAAAACATCAGGGACAAATTGTCAGCTGTTAACCAGCAGCCACTGGGGAAGAAAAGGCACAAGCCCGGGGCTGGTGGAGGCGTGGTGAAGCTGTCCTGCTGTGCACCTGTCTGACCAGCCAGCACAGCAACGTGCAAAATTATCAAGAGTCACTCGGACACTACCCTCTGACTCAATGATGATCCCCTCCGGTTCTCCAGCCGCAGGAGGAGGAATGGCCTTCAAAGGAGCCTGTGCTCAGATCTCTGGGACTTGTATTACTTTACATGGCAAGAAGGACCCTACAGACTCATTAGGGTGGGGACATGGAGATGGGAGGTTATCCTGGATTTTCGGGGGGACCCACCTAGTCACACAAGCCCTTGGAAACAGAAGGGAAAGTCTGATGGGGGCTGAAAAGGGAGGGGAAGCTGCCGCTGCTGGCTTAGAAGAGGAAGGGGCCTGACCCGGGGGACGTGGAGTCTTTTAGAAGCCAAGAAGGGCTTCAGGCCACAGCAGCCAAGGAATCAGGACCTGAGTCCTACAACCACAGGGAACTGAACTCCACCGACACCCTAAGTGAGGAGGCTGTGGATCCTCCCCAGGCCCCACAAAGGAAAGGCCCCTGGATTGCCATCTGGTAAGAGCCACAGACGTGTAACACACTTGTGTTGATTTAAGTGACTAAATTTGTGGTGATTTGTCCTGGCTGCAATAGAAAACGAAAACGCTAGAGCCCAATGGTTCTCAACACTGGAGGATCCCACCCAGGAACTTCCAACTCAGTGGGTCTGGGAGCGGCCAGAGAATCTGCATTTCTTATGAGTTCTCATGTGATGTGGGTGCTGCTGGCCCGGGGACCACACTTAAGAGAACCACTGCTCTCACCTCAGGAAATACCCCAAAATACCCAAAAGCTCTATAAAGCAAATATTACTTGAAATGTTACCTGGGATAGCCACAACTTGACCAACCCAAACGTCACCAGTTTGGTGGAATTCTGCACAGCCACTGGGTGGGGTGGGGGTGGGGTGGTCATCAAACTAGAAGACACGCCCACAACAAACTTGAGCCAGAAACCAAATGGGATGATGCTCTTTGAGTACAATTAAGTGGAAACCATGCACAGGTAGCAGGGCTGAAGCTAGTGGCACAGGGCCAGGTTATGGGAGTTTTTCTTCACCCTTCTCCATTTTTTCAAAGCTCTGCAATGTGGTTACATTAACTTTATGTAATTAAAGTTTTTAATAATAATAAAGACAAGTGAAACTCTTCCGTGTGATACTCTAATGGTGCATACATGCCATCTGTCTAAACCCACAGAATGTGCATCACCAGGAGTGACCCTGGGCCAGTGTAGGGTCATCGGTTATAACAATGACACCCTCTGGTGAATGCTGAGCCTGGGGAGGCCGTGGTGTGTGGGGGCTGGGTGCACACGGGAAATCTTCCTGCTCAACTTGGCTGTGAGCCTAAAACTGCTCTAAAAATTAGTCTGTTACAAGGGAAACCCGCCCCCACGGCAATTTTTATCGGTGACAAGCAGAAGGTAGGCACTCCGCCGCTCACCTGGTGCACGTCCCTCCTGTAGCCCGCGTCGTTGTTGCTGCCCCCGACCACGTACAGCTTGTCCAGGAGGGTGGCCATGCCATGCCAGGCCCGCCGCACTGGCCCGTCAGCCAGCGTGTGCCAGGTGTCGCTGCCCGGGTCATAGCAGTGGGTCTCCTTCAGGTAGTCCTCGCCCCGGCGGCCGCACGTGATGTACATCTTCCCATCCAGTGTGGCACCCGCATGGGCGTACACCTGTGGGCCGGGAGAACCGGGGGTGTGCGTGTGTGCACGTGTGTGCGTGTGTGTGTGTGTGCAGCCCTGCCGAGATCCTCCTCATGGTCTGACTGGATCTTCGCTGGGCACACCATCCTTGTCCCCCACCCGACCTCTTCCCAGTGGAAGATGATTCAGGGCCCTGAGGTGACGCTGCGCTTCTACAAGAGTAAGAACAGAATCTCTGTCTTTCCCCTGCCCCTAAAGGTGACAGCTGCACGGGGACCCAAAGGAAATCAAAGCCTTGTCTTCAGTGAGGCCCTTGGTCACCTCCACCTTTTCCCCACCCCTGACTCCACTTTCAACATCTGCTTGTTTGGAGCTTCCCTGGGGGTGCAGTGGTTAAGAATCCGCATGCCAATGCAGGGGACATGGGTTCGAGCCCTGGTCCAGGAAGATCCCACATGCCGCAGAGCAAATAAGCCTGAGCACCACAACTACTGAGCCTGCGCTCTAGAGCCCGCGAGCCACAACTACTGAACCCACACGCCACAACAACTGAAGCCTGTGCGCCTAGAGCCTGCGCTCCGCGAGAGGAGCCACTGCAATGAGAAGCCCACACACTGCAATGAAGACTAGCCCCAGCTCACCTCAACTAGAGAAAGGCTGCACACAGAAACGAAGACCCAACGCAGCCTAAAATAAATAAATTAAAATTAAAAAAAAATCTGCTTGTTTGCAAATAACAAATGATATGACCTGGTGAGCACAAAAGTGAGATACAAAATCAAACAAACAGCAGTCTTCAGTTATGGGAGAAAACTCACCCCCTACTTTAGATTTTGGTCCTCAACCTCACCCCTGCTTTCCACTGCACCCGGGAGGCACACCCTCTCTGCCCAGCCGGCCCCACTGCCTCCAGGTCCCCCTCTCACAGCCCACAAGGGCCTCCTGCTGTGCCCGTGTGCTCTGCCAGCAGAGATGTCCTGCAGGACCGGGAAGCCCCAGGGCCTGTGTTACAGGGCCGGTCACTGACACCCAGGCTGTGGGTAGCACAGCAAGGGGCTGGAGAGGTGGATGGGGCAAAGGGCAGGGGACAGAGCAGTGGGCAGGAAACACATCATGGGGCTAGGTCCTCTCCCACCAATGGTGGGCATCTGGGGAGGTGTTTTTTTTTTAACTAAAGTTTTCATCTTGAGGTAAGTGTAGATCCACATGTAATTGTAAGAAATACAACCACCCCGCATCCTTCACCCTGACTCCCCGGGGGAAGAGCTTGTGGGCCTCAGCACAACATCACAGCCTGTGTGCTGACGTCGGCTCCATCAAGACTCAGGACGTTTCTGTCTCCCTCTTTACAGTCACATCCACTCCCCAGCCTCCAGTCCCTGGCAACCACCACCTGTTCCCCACGTTGTCGCTTCCAGAGTGTGGCTTGAAGGGGATCATGTGGTATGTCACCTCTGTGACAGGCCGCCCACGTCGATGTGCAGACCCAGAGTTCCTCTCCGACTCCAAGCGATTGCTCTGCACCGTGTACCTGCCTGTTTGGTGAGCCTCTCGCCCATGGAAGGACATCTGACTGGTCTCTAGTTTCTGGCTATTACCAATAAATCTGCTGTAAGTATGTATTCAGAGTTTTTGTTTCTCTGGGGTAAATGTCCAGGATGGCGACTCCTGGGTCACATGGCAGTTGGAAGTTAACTGCACCTAGTACTGTCACATTTGCCATTTCAGCCGCTCGACAGGCAGTCTCCCTGCTGTGGCGTCCAGTCTGCATCCCCTAACTGCACGTCTACATCCTCCCCGTTGAAGCGTCTCCTCCCGTCTTCTGCCTTCTTTCCGGCGGGTCCCCGTGTGTTTCCCAACGAGTTTTGAGGGTTCTTTACACATATTAGATCCTAGTCCTCTCCCAGGTACTGGTTTGCAAACATTTTCTCTCACGCTGCAGCTTCCTCTCATCCTCCTAAACAGGGACTTTTGCAGAGCAAAGTTCTGCAATTTTGATGAAGTCCAATTTATCATTTTTTCTCTTTATGAGTCATTCTCTGGGGGTTGTCTAAGTACTCACTGCCTAGCCCCAGACCCCGAATGTTTTCTTCTACTTTCTCTAAATGCTGTGGAGTTTTGTATTTTACAAAAGTCCGTGCACCATTCTGAGTCAATTTTTGTGTAAGGTGTGAGACTTGGGTCAATGTCCATTTTCTTGCCTATAGATGTCCAGTTGCTCCAGTACCACTTGTGGAAAGGTAATCCTTCCTCCATTCAACTGCTTTTGCATCTTTGTCAAAACTCAGCTGGGCATGTTTCTGTGGGCCTATTTCTGAGTTCTCATTCTGTGCCACTGATCTCCGGATCTATCCCTCTGCCAATACCACAGTCATAATTACTGTATCAAGTATATACGTAGTAAGTCTTAAAACCAGGTAGATGGAGTCTTCCCACTTTATTCTTCTTGAAAGTTACTTGAAGTATTCTAGATCCTTTCCCTTTCCATATAAATTCCAGAATCTCATCTACATCTACAAAAACTCTTGCTAGGATTTTCATAGGAACTGTGCTGTATACCATATATCAATTTGGGAAGAACTGACATCTTTGTGTCTTGGAATTCATAAACATGATATGTTTCTCCATTTACTAACATCTTCTTTTATTTCTTTCATCAGCACCTATACTTTTCATCATATAAATCCTAAAAATGTTTTGTTGGATTTATACCTAAGCATTTCATTTCTGAGCAATTGTAAATGGTGTTGTTATTTTTAATTTCACTGTCAACATGTTCATTACTAGTATACAAAAATACAGTTGGTTTTTATATGTTTATATGATATCCTGCAATCTTGCTAAACTCACTTATTAATGCAAGAATTTGGGGGGTACATTTAGATTTTTTGACAATTTTGTCATCTGTAGAGTCAGTTTTATTTCTTCCTTTTCAACCTGTGTGCGTTTTCTTTTCTTGCCTTATTTCACTGGCTACACCCTCCAGGACTGTGATAAGACTGGTGAGATCAGACATCTCTACCCTGTTCCTTACCTTAGGAGAAAGCATTCCATTCAGTCCTCACCAGTAAGTATAACGTAGTGGTTGGAGTTTTGTAGATGCTCCTCATCATGTCAAGGTAATTCTTCTGTTATTTTTTTCTATTGTTACTTTGTGAGAGTTTGATCATGAATAGATGCAAAATATTATAAGATCCTATTTCTGCTCTGATATGATCATGTGGTTTTTAATATGGTGAATTACACTGACTGAATTTCAAATATGGAACCAGCCTTTGGTCATGAATTTCTTTTGCAGGGAGAGGAGCTTCTATTCGCTAATATTTAGTTAAGAACATTCATATATATGTGTATCTATGACAGACTTGTTCTTTTGCGGGGGGACTGTTTTATCTGGTTTTGGTATCAGGGTAATATTAACTTCAGAAGATGAACTGGGAAGTATTCCCCCTCTTCTATTTTCTGGGAAAAAAATCATGCAGAATTGGTATTAACTTTTAACTGTTTGGTAAAATTCTCCAATTAAACTATCTAGACCTGCAAATCATTTCCTTAACAAGTATAGGCCTATTCATATTCTACTTAGTCTTGTGTGAGTTGTAGGTTGTGTTTTTTGAGGAACTGGTCCATTTTATCTAAGTTGTCGAATTTACACACGTAGAGTTGTTCACAGTATCCCCTTATTATCCTTTTGACGTTGGCAGGGTTTGCAGTAATGCCCCCATTTCATTCTTGATATTTTAAATTGTCTTCCCTTTCTTCTTTGTCGGGCTTCCTAGAAGTTTGTCAATTTTATTGATCTTGTGGAAGATCCAGTTGTTTCACTGACTTTCTCTGTTTTTCTGCTTTTAACTTCATTGATTTCTGCTCTGGTATTTATTATTTCTTTTTTTCTGCTTGCTTTGGGTTTCATTATGCTCTTATTTTTCTTTTTCTAGATTCTTGAGGAGCTTAGATTACTGATTTAAGATTTTTTTTTCCTTTCTTACTGTATGCTTTTAGTGCTACAAATTTCCCTCTCAGCACAGCTGTAGCTGGGGTGCCACAAAATTTGACATGTTTTCTTTTTTTAAAAAAAAAATATTTATTTACTTATTTGGCTGCATTGGGTCTTTTTTTTGTCTGCATTGGGTCTTTGTTGCTGAGCACAGGCTTTCTCTAGTTGTGGTGAGCGGGGGCTACTCTTTGTTGTGGTGTGTGGGCTTCTCACTGTGGTGGCTTCTCTTGTTGTGGAGCATGGGCTTCAGTAGCTGTGGCACGCGGGCTCAGTAGTTGTGGCACATGGGCTTAGTTGCTCTGCAGCATGTGAGATCTTCCCAGACTAGGGCTCGAACCCCTGTCCCTGCATTGGCAGGCAGATTCTTAAACACTGTGCCACCAGGGAAGCCCTGCATTGGGTCTCAGTTGCAGCACGCAAGATCTTCGTTGTGGCATGTGGGATCTTTCGTTGCAGTGCCCAGGCTTCTCTCTAGTTGCGGTGCATGGGATTAGTTGCCCTGCGGCATGTGGGATCTTAGTTCCCTGACCAGGGATCAAACCCGAGTCCCCTGCATTGGAAGGTGGATTTTTAACCACTAGACCACCAGGGAAGTTCTGACATGTTGTCTTTTCATTTTCATTCAGATCAAGGTATCCTCAGGTCCCCAGATCCCTAGCTGGTCTGCCATCTTCTTTCAACCTTTTTGAGTCTTCTGAGTTTGTTTTACACATAACGTCCAGAGTTCTGTGTTGTACTGAGCAGGAGGAACCAAGAAGGACACATCTACTCTACCTTTCTGAAGGTGCAAGTTCTCTGGGAAGGTTTTTAAGTGAGCAGAGAAGGGCTTCTGCCGAGACCTCCTTCCTCTCCTCCAAAAGCATGGGATGGCCACCCTCAGGTCTGGGCCGTGCAGAAGAGAACCTCTGACTGGAGGACTCTGCCCGCTGCTGGGGCAGGGAGCTCTCAGTCCACTGGGGGCACATCAGTGACCAGTTCCTAAGGATGCCACGTGGGTGGGACCCTGAGAGACAGGTGGGAGGGAGGGAGGAAGGGAGAGAGAGAGGGAGGGAGGGAGGGAGGGAGGGAGGAAGGGAGGGAGGGAAGGAGGAAGGTGTCCGCCCCGCTACAGGCCCTGCAGACACCCTGAAGGCCTCTGCAGTGGCTGCACACCCACATCTCCAGACCCATGGGCCCCCTGCCTCTCTGCTCCTCCTCTGGCCTGGCACCGCCCCTGCTCCTGAGCTGATCACCCCGCCCATGGCTAGCACCGCCCATCTCCATCTCTAGGCTGACATCCCCGAGCCTGGCTTCCAACCGGATGTCCCCAGCATCTCATGTTTGTCACTTTCCACATGGAGCCCCTCCTTTCCTGTTCACTCCTGAGCCCACCTGTGCTCTGAGAGAGCGGCCTAGCCACCACACAGCTGCTCACACGGGTGGCCTGGGAGTCTCCATGGCCTCTCATTCCTAACCCATCAGCAAGTCTGGTCAGTTTACCTCCAAGCGACACGTCGAATCTGCCCGTCTCCCTCGTCCCCCACAGCCTCCACCACAGCCCACACCACCCTCGCCTCTGTCCTGATCACCCAAGTGCCCTGGCCCTGCTCCCCTAACACCCTCTCTTCACATGCATTCCCCATGCTTCCCCTCTTCCTCCCGGCCTGGAAGGTCCTTCCTGCCTCTCCCAATGGCTGCCTGTCTTCCGTGGACCTGGTCTCACTGACATCTCCTCAGACGGACCCTCCCCAAACAGTCCAGCAAGGTCCATCCTGCCGAAGCCCCTCCTTAAGCACCACTCAGCTCGGCCCTCAAGGTCCTTTACTCATCTGTTCAGTGGTTGAGAGTGGTCTCTACCACTAAGTTGCAAACACCATGGGAGGACCTTGGTCACTTTTTATCACCACTGGATCCCCAGGACTTGGTATCCAGAAGGTGCTTAATAAATAGCTGCTGAAGGAACGAACGGATGAAGGAAGTTAGGAACCTGGACACAAGGGAGAAGCTGGCTGAAGGCTGAGGCTGCCCCTCTGTGGCTACGCTGAGAAGTGCAGCCTCCCCGCCGTCCAAAGAGCCCCTGGAGCCCCTCCCCCACTCCCCTCCAGGACAGAGCTCAGGGTCCACCACCGCCCACTAGGTCTCAAGGACCCCTGGTCTTTCCCAAGAAAAACCTGCCCTCTTCTGAACAGGCAGGGAGTGCCCTCCAGAGGGGCTTCCTCCCCAAAGAGGCCAAGGAGCAGGGGGCAGGCTGGCTTTCCCTGCCTGGGAGGAACTGCGGTGGGAGCCCCGGGCCTTCCTTGGAGCCTCACGGACTGTGGAGAGGAACTGGGCCCATCAGGGAGACCCCTGGGCTCCTGAAGTTGGAGTCTAAGGCCCTGGGGCTCAGGAAAGGGTGATAGGTAAGGAGGGGAAAGGAGGGGAGGGGAGGAAAGAGGGTCAGGGAGGTAGTAGCTCCTGCCAAGGCCTCGGGGCCGGTCCAGCAGAGCCCGGAGGAGAGCCATCTTCTCTGCTGGGGGAGTCAGGGTGCCCAGCGGTGCTCACAGGCACTGGCACCCAAGGTGCAGCAGGGACCAGCAAGGCCCCCTCTTGCCCTGGGGTCTCACGTCTGGTTTGGGGGCCAGGGTCTCAGCACCGCAAGCCCATAAGGTGAGAGAGGTACCCCCATTAAAGCATCACTTTTGCACAATGAACGTATTTTTCACATCTTCAAGCTGGAACAAACCAAAGTATTGTGTAGGAAACACATGATTTAAAAAAACAAACCAACATGTAAAATATAACTTCTAAAGTGTTTCTGGCTTCTTGAAGGCCCCGTCCTTGGTGGGGGGTTGGGGGGAGGTCTGAGGCCACTGGGCCCTGCCTCCTGCATCCCTCAGGTTTGACAACTTGTTCCAGCTCGTCTCAGCTGTGCTGAGGAAGAGAAGGTGAAGGCTTCTGTCCACATTTGACTGCAGGGTTAAAGCAGCTACCCGGGCCAAGGTGGCAAGACCCAGACGGGGGTGGAATTCTGGGGAAGGGGGTCTCTCCTGAGGCGGCTGGCTCAATCTCAGGAGTCCCCCACCCCAATCTTAGGGCACAGTCCAAGGAGGGAAGAGGGCTCTGATAATCGGCCGGTCTCCCTGGCCATGCCTCCCACTCCCTCCACACAGCCCAGGAAGCAATGCAGCCGAAGAAGGGCCCCATGGGAGGGGTTTCCCTACCTCCCTCTTGAGCGGGGCCACGTAGGCCCAGGAGTTGGTGGCAGGGTCGTAGCGCTCCACAGTGGTCAGGTCATTGTGGTAGTCGCGGCCGGCCACCGCGTAGATGTACTTGCCCACAACACACACGCACAGGTCGGCATGCTCCTGCTGCAGCGACTGGATCTGGAACCATCGGTTGTGCCTCGGGTCGTACCTTGTGGGGACAGAGGACAGCATGTCACCAAGCAGCCCCTCCCCTAGCACCCCCTCCCCCAGCCTGGAGGGTGGGGCCCGGAGCCTCCTGGGTTTCCGCCCACAGCGCCAGGCCCTCCAGGTGTGACCTCACGGTGGTTTCTAGACCCTCCACTGTCCACTCCAAGCTGCCCAATGGCTGTTCCTACAGCCACCTCGATCTCACCTGTCTCACGTCAAAATCCCCATGGCCCTGCTCTCAATCAGGAACGCCCCCAATTATGGCCTCTCGACTGGACGACTGGGCACAACAGCCTCCAGGCCTCCAGCCAGCACTCCCTCAGGCTGGTCGCCAGGCTCCCATCACAGCCCACCTGACCCCCGTCCCCCACTGCCTGTGCATCTCCTGTGTGCAGTTCCCGCCCTCCCCAGCGGGATTCCAGGACAGAGGCCCGCGAAGAGGGGAGGGGAGAGAAGCCCACCTCTGCTGAGCCCAGCACCATCACCAAAGCTCGCTCTCCTGACGTCGGGCCACCTCCACGCCTCTTTCAAGGGGACGCAGCTGTCCCTGTCACAGCCCTGCCTTCACCTCACCCCATCAACCTTCGTAAGAGTCTAACCCCCATGCGACAGCTTCCTCTATGCCCCCAGCATGGAGCTGCTCCTCCCCCCAGCCCTGCCCTCTCCTGCCTCCAGAGGGCTTCACTTTTCAGCCCGGTCTTCTCAGCCACTCCAGGACAGCCCACGGCCACCCCACGTTCTCTCCTCACACTGTTAATGCCCGTTGCCACCTCCAGCTGGTTGCTCACTGGTCCCACGTGGACCCCCCGGGCTCCCTACATCCCACCCCTCGCTCACCAGCCAAGCCCCTGCTCACACCCAAATCCTCACATGCCTGAGCCCAGCAGCTGAGGCCCTTCAAAGCCCAGACTCAGCCCCTGCCCCATCTCTCCAGGCCCTAGGCCTGGCACCCTGCTGGGCATGAGGCCAGTGTGCTATTTGAGTGGACACAGGTGACCACAGAGCCTCAAGGGCCAGGCCCGTGAGCCCAAGGCCCCAAGCCCACTCATCCCCTACTGCGTCCACTCTTCCCCTGGCTCCTCACCAACCCCGCCCCCAGCTCCGGCACCGGCAGCTGAGCGTTGGCCTCTGGAGCCCCCTCACTCCATGCATGGCCCCTGCACACTTACAGTCTCTCTCTGATAAGTGTTTAATTCTCCACCATAAGACCAGCTCCGAAGCAGACAGTTTTCTTTGGCCTGTGCCAGACGCCCCCATTTCAGCTTTCACCCCCAAAACAAGTTAAGTGCACTCGACAGCCGCTTCTTCCCGCCACAGCCCCTCCCTGCCAGCCGAGAATACAGGAAACGGGCCAAGGGAGAGAGAGGACAGGCACCTGGGCCACGCAGACCCAGGTCTGGGCATATCTGGCCATCAGTTTTACTGTACCGACGTTCACTCAGCTCCACACCCATGGGGTCATGCTGCCTGCCTAGAAAAGCTACCATGAGGGATCACGAGGGTCAAGTCATGTGACAAGGGTTCCTTAAAGGACCGTGGTCCATGTCTGTCTTCCCAGACCTGGTGGCGCACCTGGCTCAGGGCAGATCACACACTGTCCGCTCAGGGAAGGGAAGGAGGGGCGAGGTCACCAGTGGTGGAATCACTCAACAAACATCACTGCCCCCAACATGGACCAGCCATGGCTCTTGGCGCTGGCACCCAGGGCCCCCCTTTCCACTGTAGGTTGGGAAACAGGCCAAAGGGAGCAGAGTAGCCAAGTCTCCACATAAGGACAGGTGCCGGGAAGGAGAAGTGACAGAAGGAGAGAGCAGGGCCGGGAGGGCGCCTGAGAACGAGTGACCGGGCCCTGCCAGGTGGAGGTCCAGCTGGGACAGGCAGCCCAGGGCAGGAAGGCGCCTACCACTGCCTTCCTGTGCACAAGGCTTGTTCACATTTCACATGCGTCTCTTCTGCCCCATTTTCACCAGGGAGACGAGTCCCTCCAGATGCTTCCTCTGGCCTCCTGCCCTCACAGCACCCTGGGCTGGGTTCATCTGGATTTGCGGTGTCAGTTAAGGAAACACACACACAAACACATACATACAGACACCACATCAATAATTCAGACATAACCACAGTTTTGCTGATTTCTTATCTCTCCACCATGTTCTGTATCCCACATTTTCCTCTTTATTGGTTTAATTTTCCACTTTGTCAGAATAAGTCCTCAAGTAATATTTTTTTCCTAATAGAAATAAACTAAACCATTGCATATAAGGATTCAAATCCTTCAGTCACTTTAATGCTGACTCTGGACCATCCTACTGCAAACTCACAGGCGAAACCTAGGGTTGGCATGAGAATGTTCTGAGGCCTTATTAAACTCAGTGATTGCTCTCACATGTTTCCATGACTTAAGCCTTCCCATGATTATTGATGAAGTCCATTACAGTTAGGAACATTTTTTGAATCATACTCTAAAATATTAATAGTCATGAAAATGCCTAAGGACAAAAACAAGTTATCACTCTATGTAGGGTCGGGGCATGTGGCAACATGGACTGGGCACCACCGGGTAGGGGTGCAGAGCTGCAGCTGTGGGAAGGTGCCCTAGTCACGTGGGCAACACAGACGCAATCAAGGAAAGAAAAGAGAAGTGTCATAGCTCGGAGGCAACGTGCTCCGACAGAGCTACCTTTTCACACGCTACAACCTGTTAAGTCACTAACTCCTCAAAACGCAAATGCTAATTTACTGCAAAATCTTGTTTTCTTATATTCTGACAGCCTATAGATTCTAAGGGCAGTGAACTGAGAGGAAAGGGCAGAGAACCAGACTCTTAACTCAAATTAAGATCCACCTGGCAGTGTGAAGAGCCCACCAGGAGATGAATGAAACTTTCACTCCGTAGAGATGAGACCCCGGGGTCTCCCCACAGCTCACCAGCCGCTCCGCACCGCAGCCTGCCCGGCAGGTCTCCCTGACCCCGCCTCCAACAGTGACCCAACCTCCGAGTGGAGTCTGAGGCTGTGGTTGTCAATCACGGAGGCTGACACCAGCACCTTCCAGAGTTCTGGTGGGTCTCACAGCACATGTTCACAAAAGGGAAACAGACCGGGTTTGAGAGACAGAGGTCAGCAGCTCATGACAGGACAGACTCTAGAGTGTCTGCTTTGAAGATCTGGCCTTGGCCCTCCAGCTGGAAGTGGCAGCCCTTTGAGGCCTGGCAGGAGGGAGGCCTGAACCTGGGACTGCCACCACCCCCACGCCCCCCAAGTACGCGTCAGGTCAGGGAGACGATGAAGGCATGGTTTCCTCCCTTCTGAACTGGGCCCCCTCCCGTTTGACCACAAAGAGCTGCCAAGCTCTGGGTCTCACCAGTTTGACAAAAGTGATCACTTCCTGGGGTGGGGAGAGCAGAGGAGGTCGACGGACGGGGGTCTCCTCCTGGCTTGGGGTCCCCAGGCTCCCATCCAAGGGGCACGGCCAGGCCTGACCCCACCCCCAAGACGGAGCAGGAACAGGAACGCAGTTGGCTTCAGCTCACCGCTGCCACAGCTGGCAACCCCTCTCTCTCTGCAGTGCCATCTTTCAGCTTGTGGGGGGCAGAAACTTCCCCCAGGCACCAGACCTTAAGATCAAACCAAAGTACAGGGGAGGGGGCCCTAGAAACCTCCTGGAAGTGGAGGCCGTGGAGATTTGCCCCACTTTCCTTGCTCTGACCAATGAAATGGATTTGTGGGATCCCAGCCTCGCAGACTGACAGAAACCATGGCCTCCCCTGGGGCCTCACACCCAGCACATGGCTGATGACAGGGCCTAGGGGCTGGGGGGTGGGGGGAATTTGGTCTGAGGTTCAGCACTGCCTGTGGGCCTTCCCTGTCCCCCAGGCTGAGGACTGTGCACTCAGGGGAGCAGGGCGACAGGAAGCCACCCTCCACCAGGAGCCTGTGCGGTTACGAGAGCAGAGCTAAGTGGATAGGTGAGGGGAAGCTGGGACCAGGGGTGTGAGAACAGAGAGAGGCAAGGTGGCCATGCTCCCAGGCCTGGTCCCCTCCTTCCTGCCACAACACCCCATCCCAGCCCTCACCCACAAGATGGTGGGGTGTGCTGAGGGGCGAGGGGGTTTCTGAGGAGGGGGGACAAGAGCGGGAGGAGGCATCACGGGCCCCCTTCCTCATCTCACCGCCGTCCATGTTCTTCCCATCAACCTGCGCCCACAGAACGGGCGCAGACCTGTTCAAGAGGATGACTGCGTTGGCCAGTGGCACGTGCCTGGCAGAAGCCACCCTCTGGGCAGCCGCCCGGCCGAGGGCCCCTACCTCCAGCAGCGGGACTCAGCGCGGAAGCCCTGGACATTGTTGTCCCCTCCAATCAGGTACACGAAGTTGTTGAGCACGGCGATGCCCTGGTTGGACATGCGGGGCGCCAGGGAGGCGGTGAAGTGCTTCCACTCCCCCAGCAGCGGGTTCAGGTACTTGGCCTGGTCGCTGAGGACAGTGGACGGCGTGGAGTGGATGCCCCCAAAGCCCACGACGCACTGGAAGTCCGAGCGCAGCTCGGTTTGTGGGCCCTGCAGGCTGGGCTGCAGGCTCTCGTTCCGGTGGTACATGAGGGCTTCAGCCACTGTGTCCCTCAGGGGGCTGGGGTCCAGCTTGTCGTGCAGCCGCTGCAGGACCTCGGCTTCCATGAGGGGGAAGCGCACGGTCTCCAGGAGCTTGGGTGGCTCATGCAGCGGGAGCCGGTCAGCCTGCACCTGCTCCGGAGGGTAGTGGTAGAGCAGGGCACCCTCATACACCTCCGTCTCGCAGGACACCTCCAGGCGGTTGCTGCTCAGGAGGGCATAGACCTTCTCCAGGGGCAGCTGGCGGTACTTGTCAGTTCGCGAGAAGGCCACGAAGTTCTTGAGGATGTAGGCGTCCAGCTGCTCGGTCAGGCGGCTCAGGTCAAAGAGCTCGGCCAGCCGGTAGACGTCAAGGATGTTGTCCTCATCCACCCAGGGCGTGAGGAAGTCACAGCAGAAGTGGATGATCTCGGGGATCTGTGAACAGAACACATACATTCAAGCCCAGGCAAAGCGTCTGGGTGCGGGATCTAGCGCAGAGGCGCGGGTGGGGCTCACAGGCTCCGCTGGCCCCACTCCCCGCCACACTGGACACGCCCGGGGCTCACAGCATTTCGGGGCTTAAGTCTGGGCTTGGAGGTGGTCTCTGAGCCTCAGCCTCCTCGTCTGTAAAACAGGGATGACGTGGCGAGGAACCACCTGACACAGGGCAGACCCCGACACACGCCAGCTGCCTTTTGGATCAAAAGCACGGGATCTCCAGAGAAGTGCAAGCAGCAGGACAGCCACCACACTGTGGGGCAAGGACACCCTGCGATTAGGTAACCAAAGAACCGAGGAGGAAAGGCAAAGGCCCGGAAAGGCTGCTCAGGGGCTGCTAAGTTCTGCAGGAAAACTGGATTTCAGAATTTCTCAAAATGGGAATACCTCTCTTATCCAGCACCATCAACAAATTCATTACATGAAAACTAATTCTGCTGGAATTTGAAGCTTATTAATAAATGTTTAAAGTCTTTTTATTTTTTCTGGTTCTAGACACTTGGTGCTTGCCAGGTGACATGCTGAAGGCTGAATGGAAACCTGCAAAGTGCCAGGCGTGTGTCTCCCCCACCAGGAACGTCCCCATCGTGCTGCTTCCTTAGGTCCTGAGGGTCTTCACTCGACCATCCATTTCCTCCCGAGCAGGTGCTTCTGCTTGGCCTCTTCTGCCTAAAATATTACCTCTGACCTCTCAGAGGCCAGGAGCTGAGCACCAGGTTCTGGGTGGAAGGTGAGGGCTGACAGCCCTGAGTGGGCCTGAGGAGCAGCTCCTGAGAACCAGGGACTGTCTTGCCCTCCCTGGCAAGGTCAAGGTCCCTCATCCTTGTCTCAGCGCAGGGACCTCTGGCAGGGAATCTCACCAAGGCCTGCCCCATGCAGGAGGCCCACGAGAGGCCCAGAGAAGGGAACTCATTTGCTCAGGGTGACCCAGTGGATACGGTCTCACTGACACTCGGATCCACGTCCCTGGGGATACCACGAAGGGCACAGCACATGGGGGACAGGCCACCAACAGCCACTGGCTACATGAACAAACATGACCTGGTGGGCCTGTGGACTCGGAACTGTTACACCAAGTAAAACTTGCTTTAAAAACAACATTGCGGGGCTTCCCTGGTGGCGCTATGATTAAGAATCCGCCTGCTGCGGCTTCCCTGGTGGCACAGTGGTTGAGAGTCCGCCTGCCGATGCAGGGGACACATTTTCGTGCCCCAGTCCGGGAAGATCCCATGTGCCGCGGAGCGGCTGGGCCCGTGAGCCATGGCCGCTAAGCCTGTGCGTCCGGAGCCTGTGCTCCGCAACGCGAGAGGCCATAACAGTGAGAGGCCCGTGTACCGCCAAAAAAGAAGAAAAAAAAGAAAAAAAAGAATCCGCCTGCCAATGCAGCGGACATGGGTTCAAGCCCTGGATGCCGTGGAGCAACTAAGTCCATGAGCCACAACTACTGAGCCTGCGCTCTAGAGCCCGGGAGCCACAACTATTGAGCCCACGGGCCACAACTACTGAAGCTCGTGTGCCTAGAGCCCGTGCTCCGCAACAAGGGAAGCCACCGCAGTGAGAAGCCTGCACACCGCAACAAAGAGTAGCCTCCACTCGCCACAACTAGAGAAAGCCCGCGCGCAGCAAGGAAGACCTAATGCAGCCAAAAATAAATAAATTTATAAAAAACAAACAAACTGGGCTTCCCTGGTGGCACAGTGGTTTAGAGTCCGCCAGCCGATTCAGGGGACACGGGTTCGTGCCCAGGTCCAGGAAGATCCCACATGCCGTGCAGCGGCTAGGCCCGTGAGCCATGGCTGCTGAGCCTGCGCGTCTGGAGCCCGTGCTCCGCAATGGGAGAGGCCACAACAGTAAGAGGCCCGCGTACCGCAAAACAAAAACAAAAACAAACAACAACACTGCATAGAAGCCCGGTATGTTAAAAATAAAACAAAACCAAGCCAGGCTGCCCCAAGCACCAGCCATGGCTCTGCCTTGAGGTCTGAGGGGAGGCAGCAGGTCTCTGCGCCTGCGACGGATGCAGCAGAAGGCAGAGCCCAGCTGGGAGGAAGAAACGGAGAGAAGGAGGCCGGGACAGAGGCGAGGGCAGGGAAACAAAGAACACGGTCACATTCACAAGGACGACTCGTCCAGACATGGACCCAGAGGACGAAGGTGGACACAGAGGAGAGCCTGGCGCTAGCAGAGTGGCTGTGGGATACACGGTGCAGGGAGCAAGGCAGTGTGCGGTGTGCTGGGGAGGGGGGGCGACGCCGACAGCGAGCATGGGGTGAGAGGTTCTGGGGGCGGCTGGCTACTGGAGGTAAGTGTGGTCCCCAGAGCAGCAATGAGGGGACAGGACATGGGGACAGAGGAGCTCTCTGAGTAAAAGAAGGAACTTCTGCATGAAGGCCGCCCTGGCTCAGCTCCACCTGCCCACCCGCCACTGAGAGTAAAGGCACAGGGCTATTAGGGCCCCGCCATGCGGGGAGCCTCCAGACACCCCCAAACAGGCTGCTTTTCCTACTGCCCCAGACATGCTCCGACCTCATAAAAGGTCAGGATAAGGAACTCGGCATAAGACTTTGTTCCAGTTTCAGGACACGAGGGAAAAGCTGTCTTCTGAGCCAAACGAGGAGCCTGCCGACACTCTCGAGAGCAAAGGGCTCACCGCCCACCCTCACACCACTGCCTGGCGGGCACCCGGGATCCGTCTGGGCCTGGCTCTGCCTGCCTCAGACCAGGAGCCTCACCTGAAGCTGGCAGGCGGCGACCAGCGTCTCCTGGACGTTGCTCAGGCTGAGTTCCAGCTCGGACGTGTAAATGAAATGCAGGATTTGGCACATGGCATTGTAGGACACGCCGTGGATCAGGACTTCTTCCTGCTCCATCTCCTTCAGCCCCCCAGCAAACATTCCTCTGCAAAGGGAAGAAAGGAGATGGCAGGGTTACACCCATTAGGACGCCAGGCCGCAGAGGAGGGGCACCCAGAAGTGCCCACAGCTCCTGACCAAGCTTGGCAGCTGTTCTGGAAACATCCATCTAATGTGCCCCAGCAGCCGCACGTGAGCCTCTGCGGGCAGGACCATGTCCAGCGCGCTTTCTGCTGCATCCACCCGTGCAATTCCTGGGCCACAGCCGCAGCCCAGGGCACGCGGTGAAAGGATAAATGAATGGGAAACAAATAGTAAAAGTCCTCCGCTCAGCAGCTCCGTACCCAGCAGCCACTAAACACCAGGAACCGTGCACAGAGCCAATGCAACAACAGTGAAGTTAAGCAGCAGGATCCCTATGTGCGTAGAGTTAAGGCCAGAAGACAGACACGAAGACACAGGGCACTTCCGGTGGTGGAATCACTGTCAAGGACCACAACAGGGCATCTGACCGAGGAGTGCCCAGTGCGGGAGAAGAGTGGATGGAGAGCGATGGCAGAAGGGCCCACGATGAGGAAGTGGAGGTGGCAGGCACCCAGGGCCCAGGGCCAGGAAGAGCTTGCAGGCAGGCAGGCAGGCAGGCAGGGCGAGGAAGAAGAGGCAGGAGGTGAGCCTGGGCCAGGTCCTGCTACCCCCGGGGCAGGGTAGGGTCTGGACCAAAACCAAGGCAAATGAGGTGCTCTCGGCGAGTCATACACAGGCCTGAGCAGAGGAACTTCAGATCTTGGGCTCCTTGGCCAGAGTGGAGAGGCTGGAGCAGAGGCAGGGAGGCTCCTGCTGGGCTGGGGAGGCCACACGGCTGGGGAGCTGGAGTAGAGACCACCCTGGGGCCGAGAGGAGAGAACAAGCGATGGAGGGAACCCAGGAGAGCATAGGAGGAACCCAGGCTGGGCAGGAAGACACCTGGCGGGACCGGAGTGAGAGAGGGCAGTGGGAGTCCCATTGTGGCTCCAACACTGTGGGCACCCCAGGGCATCTCAGCAGGGGTGTCAGTTAGGTGTTTGGAGGGAGGAGGCTGGCAGTCAGGGGAGGAATCTGGGCTGAAATATGACAGCAACACGGAGGTGACAGAGTGGCTATTGTCACATTTTATATCACACACACACACACACACACACACACACACACACACACGCACACATACTCTCCCTCTCCCTCCCTCTCTCTCTCAAGACCTAAATTACACGAAAGGGTGCTCTGGTCACCAGCCCCCCTCCAAGGGTGGCACTATCCCCAGAGGCAGTGCCCGCGCCTTAATCCCCACCTGGTTTCGACTTCACAGGACACCTTGGAAACAGCCCCGATCATCCGTACACACAGCGCTGCCCCTCTCTGTAAAGGCGATCACAACTGATTTAACTGTTCCTGCCGGGGTCCACCTGGGTTACTTCTGATCTCCTGTTATTTCTCCCAGTGGATGGCTTTGCGCCCACGAGCTGTTGCTCATGTGAACGCCAGGATTAATTTCAGGAAAGCAACTGCTGGGTCAAAGAGTTTCATACACACGCACTTGGATGGCACTGCCCACGGCCTGTCAGGTAGCACCACCAGTGTGCGGGGAGCCTGCCCCCCACACCCTCAGAACCAGAGGAAGACGCTGCTCCAACTGCCAGGAGGCAAGGGAGAAATCTTGTAAACAATGGGACAGAGGCTCTCTTCACAGGTTTAACAGCTGTTTTTATATTCTTTTCCAAACAGTCCAGATGCTTTGCCCATTTTCTGTTAGACTCTGTCTTATCAATTTAAAGAAACTGGAACCTCTGTGCATCGGTGATGGGCATGTAAATTAGCGCAGCTGCTGTGGAACAGTATGGGGTTCCTCAAAAAATGAAAAACAGAATTACAGAATGTGATCCAGGGAATTCTCTGGTGGCGCAGTGGTTAAGAATCCGCCTGCCAATGCAGGGAACACGGGTTTGAGCCCTGGTCCGGGAAGATCCCACATGCCACGGAGCAACTAAGCCCATGAGCCACAACTACTGAGCCTGCGCTCTAAAGCCCGCGCGTCTAGAGCCCATGCTCTGCAGCAAGGGAAGCCACAGCAATGAGAAGCCCGCGCACCGCCACAAAGTGGAGCCCCCACTCACCACAACTAGAGAAAGCCTGCAAGCAGCAACAACGACCCAGTGCAGCCAAAAACAAACAAATAAATAAATTCATTTTTTTTAAAAAAAGAACATTACTGATCTGTACACTTAAAAATGGTTAAGATGGTAAATTCTATAGGGTTTTTTTTTTTTTTAAAAGGATGTTCACCAAGTCCCCAGCAGGCGGGCACAGATAGCACAGACCACAAAAAGAACCCGGGCCACCTCTACTGCCAGGATGTCATAACCAGATGTCACAAGGTGCCAATGAGCTGCCTCGGATATGAGGTGGGGAGAACATTTCCTGTGCCAGCTTGTACCAGCCTCCAACCCCTCTTCCAAACCTTTGAGGTCAAGTGTGTTTCAGAATTCACAACGTTTCACCTGGAGAAACCCTTATCTGTGCCACATATGATGTCACACTACCCCCCATAGGGTCTAAATCAAATCCAAACACCTCAATATTTCCAAACCGAAATGTACAAAGACCCATGCTAAGTAGGACACATATAAAAGTACCCTCATATCAGTTCAGGGTGGGTTTCGTGGTTTAATGAATTTCTGCCAAACTTAGACTTTTAAAAAGCTGGCAATGTAGAAGAATCCAACTTCTGCCTCCCCCCTCAAAGATCAACGACTGGACAGATTGGACAGCTATCCACAAACAAAAGAGCTCCGGGAGGGACTTCCCTGGTGGTCCAGTGGGTGAGACTCCACGCTCCCAATGCAGGGAGCCCGGGTTCGAGCCCTGGTTAGGGAACTAGATCCCACGTGCCGCAACTAAGATCCCGCATGCCACAACTAAGATCCAGCACAGCATGCATGCATGCATGCATGCATGCATAAATAAATATTTTAAAAAAAACAAAACAAAACCAAAAAAAACCAGAAAAACCAGCTCCAGGAGACTTCCAGAGGACACTTGACAAGTTTTAGCAACATATTAGAAAACAAAACAACTTTGAGTATCAGAGCTTTGAGGTTTGAGAATTATGAACTAGGATGTGCAAGGGAAAACAGTGTGGATGATAAGGAACGTTTATAAATGGTTACCACAGGGGTGAGGTGGGAGGGCAGGGATAAAGTGGTGCTTTCCACGATTTCCAATTCCAGCAGCTTTTCAGCTGTGGCAGTGGATGCTGGATGTGACCACATGCCTGCTGACCTGTCTGTGGATGGCCACACGCCAGGTCGCCTCAGGCTGATTAGGGCCTCGCACTGGAAGAGAGGTTTCCTAACACGGAACCAACTGTCCTTCCACGAACAAGGCCCAGCAGGCGGGGGTCTACTGCTCCACATGCCCAGGTCTCACTGAGCATTTCACACACTCTGATTCATAAGGAACTACAGCTTTCCGTGTGTTGGCTGGACACCGCTCAGCACCTGGCAGACACCCCACAGGGCGTCCCCTACAGGGCCCAGCCATGGGCCCACTGCCCTCGAAAGCCCTTCCTTCCACCCCTGCCCACATCAGATATCTTCAGCAGCCTCACTGGGAAAAACCCTTTATCATTTCAACCTGAGTCAGTAACTGAAATGAATAATAAGGAAATAAACCCACTAAAGCTTGGGAATCATCATTTCATATGCACATACCAGAGATGAGTCTGGGTTCTCCCTGGTCCCAGTGGGAGGGGGTGTCATCCTGCACAGTGACCGGGCCTGAGAGGGGAACACCTCCCAGGACAGACCCGCTGGAAGTGGCTGCCAAAGGGCCAGGAATTGCTCCTGGAGGATGTGGGGAGACACAGAGTGTTTCCACCACGAAGGGAGAGGTGGCACCAGTAACTGTCCTTTAGGAAGAGGACCATGACTGTGACAGTGACAGGATGGCCTGCGTGGGGAGAGAAGCTCCACCTGAAGGGCTTCGACGGTGTGTCCAGGAGGCCCTAAGCCAGAAGGACTCCAGTGCTTGACCTTCTGGGTCCTGAGGCCTCCCACAACTCTGCCCTGCCCACTGCCCTGTCTTCTCAAAGCTTGTAAAAGCTGAATCCTCATGAACTGAAGGGACACTGTTGTCCCTGGACATGTTTGCTCTAAGGCACCACTAACCACTGGGTCACCCTCTCCATAAACTCCTTCTGGAGAACAGGAAGCACTTAACCACAAAGAAATATTTTGCTCATTAGTTCCTAAAGTTAAAAGATGAGAACTACAAATGAGCCTTGAAGACAAAAGAACCAAACAGAATGGGAGACAGAATAGAGGGTCTCAGGTCTCAAGTGGGATGGTGGCACCAGCTCTGCCCAATGTGCTCAGGGCTGGGCTGGTGTCACATAGGAGGTCATGAGAAACTCAGGGGACAGAGAACCCACAGGGAGGGTGGGAGGCCGAGGCCCAAGGGATGAGGAGGTGAGAGCAAGAGGTGGATGGCCAGGTGAGGGTGCGAACGGAGTGACTCCACATCACGTAGCTGGTGTGGACGACATGCATACGGTACTGACCACCTGCCTCGGCCCCCACAGAGGTCCCTGGGCCCGTATGGGCTTCCTGATGGTTTTACAAGAACACTGGGTGGGGCTGAAAAGTCTAAGGCATAAAGCATCATAACATCTTTTTAAAAAGGCGTGTGTTACAAAGGCAGTGAAAGCAAATGCGGCAAAATGGTAACAACTGGTGTCCAGGTGTTTGTGATACTATTCTTTTCAATGTTTCCATAGGTTTGAAATTTTTTTAAATGAGATGATGGGTAGCCAGAGTAAAGTAGAAAGAAAATCTGTTTCACACCAAGATACTGTACTTATAGTAGAAAATTCATTCTAGAAAATACAATATCATAAGTAAAGCCAAGCATACCGCCTTTAAAAGAAAAAAAAAAGGGAGCACATGCCCCAGAGATGGGGCAGCTGAGAGAAAAACAGACCCCGAGCCCCCTATGCCTGCACAGCGAGAAGCGGGAGAAACCCGGGGTGCCAAGGCGTCCACCTGGTGCAGCCAGCATCCCTGCTACCTTACTATGCAGACTCACCTGAAGTAATCGCAGGACGCAGCCAGCAGGATGCGATGGGCCTCGATGTGCCTCCCCTCCACCACCAGGACCACGTCAAAGAGGATGCCGCTGTTCCGCAGAGCCAGCAGCCCCCGGAGCAGCGCCTGAGAGTGCTGTGCGCTCCGGTAGGTGTTGCTGACACAGTGCGGGTGGGAGGGCTGTGCCGGCAACTTGCAGAGCTGGGCAAACTCCTGCTCCTCCGCCATCCTGACCACCGCTCCCAACCTCAGCACCGTGGCTGTCAGCTGCCAAGACACAGGGGCGAGGAATGAGCCTGGGAGGCAGCGCAGCCTGTGCAGGGCTGGCCAGCTGTTCGGGTCCCTCCCTCCTGCTCACCTGTGCTTTCCCCGTGGTCTCAAACCTCTAATTCACTCTCCCCTCCCACTGCTGTCCAAACTTGGTGCCTTCTTCCTCCTGACCTGTGTCTCTTCATTGCCAAGATTCTCCTTTCCATTTTATCTGCTTCAGCATCACCATGAAACAAAAGGGTTCTAGAGACAGACCGACCCAGGCAGGAAACCCAGCCCCACGGTGGACTCAGTGTGGTGAACCTGAGTGTCAAGCCCCTCAGCTGAGAAAAGGGGACTACAAGCACCCAGCCCCTCGGGGCATTCTCAAATTTCCTAAAGGATGAAAACAAAGCACCAGCACAAATGAGGTTCTCAAGGGCTCTTCCTCTCTTCTATTGGGAAAGAACACTGGGTCCCCCCCACAACAGGAATGGATGAATAAAAAAGACAACAGGCCTAGGTGGTGGTACAGGGGAGGGTTCCAGGCCCTACCTTCTTTAACCGAGATTTTGAGTCAAGCACTGTAACTTCAAGTAAATTTGGTACATTCAAGATTGTCTGCATTGTCTTTTAAATTCAAGCTTAACTTCTAATAATTGAGTCAATATGTTCAAAAAATTGCAAACTGATTTGAACAGGAGCCTCAGAAACCCCATGAGTAAAACCAGCTACTGCAAACACATTTTGGCCAAGCACTCCAAGCCAACCACAAGTGACTGGGGGCAGCCAGTCCTACACCGAGCTGTGGGGCTGAGCTGTGCACTCTCCAGGCCACAGCACTGCCAGCCAGCGGACCACTTGCCACATCTCCCTTCCCCACCTCACGTTCCTCCACTATCCCCTCCCCAAATGTGCTTCTTTTTCAATCCCCTACTGGACCCTTGAAAGAAAAAAGGAAAAATAGACTCTACTATAAAACAGAAAGGTATACTGTATTATGAAACTTAAATTTCCCTCCCACTTATGCCCCCTAACCAGATCCTCTCCCAGAGGAAGCTATTCAACTTTCCTGTCACCCTTCCAGGTAGCACCTATGCATTTGCAGGCAGAGCTGTAGAACAAAATTTCCCCCTTTTATTAGCTTTTACACATGATAACTTCGTATCCCACCCACAGTCCATTGTATGTATAACCGTATTTTATTTAACCAATCCTTTTCAGAGAGACATTTGGGTTTCCTTCAATTGTTTGCTGTTGCCAACAGTTTTGCACTGAAAGTCACTGAGATCTGCCATATATGTAGCAGTTAAATGAGGAACATTTACTAGATATAGAACTGCTAGATCATCTTAATTTGAATGTGCAGTTGCCATTTCAATAGATATTGCCAAATTGCCTTCCGTAGAGGTTGTACCAATTTATTCTCCACCGGCAAAGTACGAGAACTGGATTGCAACCACTGTCTAGCACACCAATAGTGTTGTTGTTTTTTTTTTAATCTTTGCTGACTTAGATGAAAAACACCATTTCACAGTGTAACTTCGCTTTGCTAATTCATAAAATTTCAAAGAATAAAATATTAAGTGGAATGCTGCACATCTTTTGCGATTCCCTTCCCATGCCTGTTTTTCTGAAATAAAATATGTTCTTGGGGGCTCACTCTCTGGCACCCTCAACCTCCTATTCATTTTACCCAGGTTCCTCTATGATGAAGCCCTTCCCTAGATTAACTACCCTCGGCCCCATAACGTCCCCGATTCTAGTCACGGCAAGCAAGGCCCTACGTTCAGTGCTTTCCAGTTCAGAGCTTTGGAGGGAGCAGGAAGGAGGTTTTATGTCCCAAGTAGATACAAACTGAAGGACGTAAAATGAATTTTCATGAATTCATGGATGACAGAGTCGGAAGCATCTCTGAACAATGTTCAACTCAACACAATTTACTGAGTAGGCACCCTCAGTCCTCTGCAGGGCCCCAGCGTCTGCCCTCCACGAAGCCCAGTCCCTGGCAGCACGAAGCAAGGTCTGCAACAAAGGGAAAGGGGGTCCCACTTCCCAGGGGACGGCCCGCGTCGGGTGCGGATGGGATGCGTTCTGGACCATCGCGGCGCGGAGGCCGGAGCGGGGTAGGGACGCGCCCGGGCGGAAGGCGCTGGGCTCGGAGCCGGGGTGGGAGTGGGCAGACCATTGGCCGGCGCTCCGGGCCGAGGCGTCGCACTGACAGCGCGGCCGCCGGGGCTGTCGGGGGCCGTCCAGGTCCGTCCGTGCAGCAAGCGGGAGCCGAACCTGGGCCGGCTGAGGGGCCGAGGCTGGCATGCCGGGGTCCAAGGTCGCGCCAGGGGGACTGCGCCCGACCGGCCGCCTGTTGCAGGGCCGCCGGCGCAGCGCAGGGGCCGCGGCTCCGAAGGACGCGCGCGGAACCGCGGGGGCGACAGGCCCACCCGAGGCCCGGACGCCGGCGTCCCCGCGGCCCCTCAGCTCCGACCCCGCCGCGCCCGAGGGTCCCGCCCGCCGCCCCCGCCACGTCAGGCCGCCGGCTCGCCTCAGGCCGCCGCCCCCACCCCGGCCCGGTCCGCGCCCGGCCCGCGCCCCCGCCCGCGTCCTCCCGCGCTCGCGCCCCGCGCGCCCGGCCCGAGCCCGGCCCCGGCCCCGCGCCGAGATCCCCGCCGGCCCGCGCTTGCAGCTCACCTAGCGCCGCCGCACGCTGAGGCCGCACTCGTGGAGGCGGGGCGGGGCATGCGAGGCGGGGCCTCGGGAATCACGTGGCCTCACTGCGCAGGCGCCGGACGAACGCGGGCGGAGGCGAGGCGGGGCGGAGAGGAGGGCGTGGCCCTTGCAGGGGCGGGGCAGAGGGCGTGGGCCCGGCGGAGGTGGGGGCGGAGGTGGGGGCGGAGCGGAGGGCGGGGCCCGGGCGGAGGCTAGACTCCCCGGAGGCCGAGTCTCCACTCGCTTCCCGACCCCGGCGCCGGGCGCGGCAGAACGCAAAAAGAATGAGGACGGGAAGGAGGCCGTGAAGGAATGCGTTCTGGCGAGGGTGGGGCACTGTAAATCCATTTCCTCTTTCCTCCCCTCGGTCCCTTCCTCGGGGTCCCCTGAGTCGCCCGCCCCCTGCTGGATGCTGGCAGGGACATAAAACACCGCCAGTGTGAACAGGTGTTTTCCTGTTTATCGAGGTTGTGGAGTAAATCCGCTCCCCAGCCCGCAGCCGGGTCCCACCACTACAACCGGCGGCTCTTGCGTTCATTTTTCTCCGCCTCACCCCCAGAGGACCCCATCCTCCGAGGCTCATGGGTGATGGCCGCGTCCGGAGGGTGGGGAGCTGTGGAGGAGCATGTGGCTGGGGATGGCTCGAGGTTAAAAAGAACGGTGAGCGAACGTGGAAGAGGGAGAAAGTAAGTGAAAGAGAAACACTGTCCTGGCTGAGCGTAGACAGCTGCGTGTGGCTCCAAAGAGGACTCTGAGACAGGGCCAGCCGAGGAGCGGAGGTTCCCAATGGGAGAGCGCTTCCAGGAGGGCTTTACGGAGGTGGTAACCCTCCAGCTGTGTAACAGATGAGGACTTTTGGGGAGCGGGAAAGCATTCCAGGAAGGGGACAGTGTTAGCAGAGGAATGGGCAGATGCAGCCAAGCGAGTGGTTGGCAGGCTGCCAGGAGTTTCTGAGCCTGAAGGAAAGTTAAGAGACCAGACCCGGACCTCCAGAGATGGATGTGGCCCTGAAGGCAGCCTTCAGCCTTCAGCCTTCGGCCTTCAGCCTGGGCGGCAGATGCCAGCACCTGTTGCAGAGACTGGACTGGAGGGGGCATCAGGGAAGCTGTGGCCTCAGGTGGACAGGGAGTGGGGTCAAAGGACAGTGCTAGCTGGAAACTTGGGGAGGGAGGCAGATTCCCTAGTACCGGGGAGTGATGGGTGAAGAGGGGTGAGCCCAAGACATGGCGGTGGACAGTGGGGCTATCCTTGTCACAAGGAGCCTGGAGCAGGAGCAGGTTTAGGGAAAGACAAGACCCACCATGGCCCCAGGACAGTAAGGAGGCTGCAGATGTCCAGCTGAGGGCCTTTCTGGGGGAGTCATGCACTTCTGGAGGTGATACACCGAGTCAGAACAGGTGTGGGGAAAAGGAGGGTGGGCTGAGTGCAGAGCACAGTGGTGTTCTGGGGGCACCCAAAGGGGACAGGGGAGGAGTCATCTCAAAGGCCCAATGGGGCCAGGGGTAGGGGAGGCCTTTCCTCGGTGTGGCAGAAGCCAGCCTGCAGTGACTGAGGTGTGAAAGGAGGTGAGGACAGGAAGACAGGCTTCAGAGGCCCAACCTCTTAGAGGACAGATGGGACGACAGTGTGAGGGGAGAGACTGAAGGAGGACACCTCCAGGGTAGGAGAGAGGAGCTGGCAGGTGGGGAGCATGAGGATGAGTGAGGGGAGGAGGTCAGGAGCAAGGGGGGCCACTGGCCAGGACTCAGGGGAGAGGACATGCCCCAGTTTTCTCTAAGCTGGAGGGACCATCATCTCAAAATCCACCTGGATCAAGTCTGTGGTTCCCCTACAGTAACGTTCACAAGGAGAGGAGTGGCAAGGTGGGGGAGGCCTCAGAAGTGGGGTGTCCTGCCAGAGATGTGTTTGCTTCCTAGCAAATCCTCCATTCCCTGAGGGTACAAGCTTTATCTGCTCCTTCATGTCTGTATTCCTGCACTGCACAGAGAACAGGGCTGGCCTGGTGCTCAGTAGGTGCTAAGTAAGTACAAGTTGAGGGAATTGGAGTAGAGAGAAATCAGAAGCAGAGAGACTGGTTAAAGGGCTGATATAGGGACTTCCCTGGTGGCACAGTATTTAAGAATCCGCCTGCCAATGCAGGGGACACGGGTTCAGTCCCTGGTCCAGGAAGATCCCACATGCCACAGAGCAACTAAGACCGTGCGCCACAACAACTGAGCCTGTGCTCTAGAGCCCGTGAGCCACAACTACTGAAGCCCGCATGCCTAGAGCCCGTGCTCCGCAACAAGAGAAGCCACCCCAGTGAGAAGCCCACGCACCACAACAAAGAGTAGCCCCCACTCACCGCAACTAGAGATAACCCAGGCACAGAAATGAAGACCCAACGCAGCCAAAAATAAATAAATAATAAATAAATAAATTTATTTTTTTAAAAGAATTTAAAAAAAAGAGTAGCCCCGCTCACTGCAACTAGAGAAAGGCCGGGTGCAGCAACAAAGACCCAACACAGCCAAAAATAAATAAATAAATTAATTAATTAATTAAAAAAAAAGTGGAACACTGTTGTTTAAAATAAATAAATAAATTTATTTAAAAAAATAAAAGGGCTGGCATAGATAAAGGAAGATTTGAAGTCTCAACAGAACGGAAACATCTTAAAGGAAAGACCAATGCATTTGCCTGCACAACAGTTTGATCACAGCCATCCTAAACAAACAAAAAACAATTGAGGAAATTGGCAGCAAGTGGCAAATGGTATATAAAAATTCCATAAAGGGAACTCCCTGGCGGTCCAGTGGTTAGGACTTGGCGCTTTCACTGCCAGGGCCAGGGTTCAGTCCCTAGTTGGGGAGCTAAGATCCCACAAGCTGCGTGGCGCAGCCAAAAAATAAAAGTTTTTTTTCATACAAAACAATAAACGGTATTGATTCCATTAATTAAATGGAAATGAACATGAACAGTTAACACTCAAAAGAGGACAAAAACAGGGACTTCCCTGGTGGTCCAGTGGTTAAGATTTGACACTTCCAATTCGGGGGTCACGGGCTCAGTTCGTGGTTGGGCAACTAAGATCCCACATGCTGTGTGGCACTGCCAAAAAAATAAAAATAAAAGGAGGGACAAATACATAACTTAATACCTGAGAGAATCATGAGTATCAGTGAAAGTAAAAAAATGCAAATGACAACATATATCAATGAATGTATTTGCAACATAACCTACAAAAGATTATTATTCAAAATGTATAAGGGATTTTTTTTAATAAAGAACTTTTAAAAATCAATAATTAGAAAGGCAACCAGCCAGAAAAATGGTAAAGGATCTTTACTGCAAACTCACAGAAGAGGAAGTCCCAGAGGGTGTAAACAAAGGAAGTAGAGTTCAATCACATTAATACTCAGGAAATGCAAATGCTACACCACATTTTCCTACACTGTTAAAGAAAATATTATTCTGACATTTGTTTAAACCGTAAGAAAGACTATTCAGGAAGACTATTGCAATCAGGGGTTGTCAGTAGGGGAGAGCTCAGGCTCAACTCTGGATACAGCAAAGATAGCTGGGGATGTAAAGCAAAGGAACAGGCTGAGGGGGTCATTGGATGTAAACTTACTAACGTGAGGGACTTCCCTGGCGGTCCAGTGGTTAAGACTCCGCGCTTCCACTGCAGGGGGCACAGGTTCGATCCGTGGTCCGGGAACTAAGATCCCGCATGCCGTGTGGTGGGGCCCCCCCCAAAAATTATTAACTTGAGACATCAAGGGTGGGGGATTCTTACTACACTGGCCCAATGGGGTTATCCAGAGTTGGGGACGAGGAACTTGATCAGATTTCAGGGGTGGGGGGGATTGTCCCTGAACTGATTGGGCAGAATGGTTTGCCTAGGCTGGGCTAGGCAGGCCGAGAACGGGACAGGTACCACAGCGGAGGTCTAGTCAAGAGCACTCAAAGGAGCTGACTAAAGTTTGCTCAAGGAGAGTCTTTGTCAACATCAACATGGCAAAATATAAAGTAGAGGGAGATGAAGCAGCAGTTGGTGAGGGTGGGAAAGTACATACATTGCTGATGGAAATGTAAGTTGGAACAGCCAATTTGGAGCTTAGTAGTGGTTTAAAAACATGCCTGCAGGGCTTCCCTGGTGGCGCAGTGGTTGAGAGTCCGCCTGCCAATGCAGGGGACATGGGTTCGTGCCCCGGTCCGGGAAGATCCCACATGCCGCGGAGCGGCTGGGCCCATGAGCCATGGCCGCTGAGCCTGCGTGTCCGGAGCCTGTGCTCCACAACGGGAGAAGCCACAACAGTGAGAGGCCCGCGTACCTCAAAAAAAAAACCAAACATGCTTGCAAAATCTTTGACTCTCCTCCCTCCAAAAGGTAAAACCCAATCTTCCTTCCTCCCCTTGAATGCGGGCTGGACTTAGTGACTGGTTCTAAGGGACAGAATGAGACAGAAGGAAACGTGTGTGACTATAAAAGGCATTGCACCTGTGTCTTGCTCTGTCTGCGGGCCATGAGCCACCATGTCATGAAGACACTCAAGCAGCCCTGAGGAGAGGCTTGCATGGACCCGAGACCTCTGTCAAAATCAGCACCACCTTGCCAGCTAGGAGCAAGCTGCCTTGGGAGCAGATCCTCCACCCCAGCCAGGCCGTCAGAGGACTGTGGTCCTTGGAAGGAGTCCAACATCTGCCTGGAGCCTCAAGAGAGACTGAGCCAGCACCCGGCTCAACCTCTCCT